GGGGGGGGGGGGGGGGAAAGGGGATGGATATAGCGCACAATTTTTTCTTTTTTTTTTATCTCTTGGGGATTGGATATACACACATCTTGCGGGAGGTCGAAGGTCTGTACATCATTTTAGATACTGTCCATTCCACTCCGCCCCCAATACACGGCCCCTCGTTCTCTCATTCTGTCGCATTTTCACTGGATCGCCACCACGCATACGCACACACAATCAATTATACCCTTAATTCTCTCTTCCATTCATTCACACTCTATCTTTCTCGCTCACTTTCTCATTTGTCTACTCTGCGTTACTGTTCCGATATTCTTTCTTTCTTTCTTTTTTTCCCTCTTTTAAATCATTTACACTCGCGCGCGTTCATGTTTGTCGTTCTCATATTCAGCAACATTTAAATATCGTATTTTCCGTAATAATTAAACGTAATAATGATAATATATAATAATTATAATAATGGTATAATAAACTATCTATCTACGCGTGTAAGGTGTATCTTCTCGTGTTTCGTAAAGGTTTGCATATCTTCCTATCATTACGAGTCCTAGACATTCTTCCCGTCTTCGTATTTATATCTGTATACATATACGGATGTATATAAATGTATGTACATATACACGTAGCAAGAGGACAAACAATAGCGTCTCATTTTGCAGCAATAATACACAGAAATACGTCTTCCTAGAACTTTATACAACACCGCCGTTGTGGAGTTAGTACTTTTTGCTTGTTTGTAGCTTATATAATTCCCACAATCGTTATCTATCAACACTAAGATATTTTAAAAATTTACTCATTAAATATTAATCAAGTCGTTGTATGCTAGACGAATGTTGAGATCAAAGAAATTGCGGATTCCAGGATGCCAGTGATCTTTTTTTGTTCTTTTTCTTCTCTTCCGTTCGCTCTTTCTTTTTTTTACACTGTATCAAGATTACTCGTCGATGATTATCTGATAATCGGCGCAAAAATAATGCGTAATGATGTTATGTTCGATTCGAGAGCTGCTGTGTCTTGCAGTATCGCAAGTTATAAGTGTGAACATTGATCTCGGAAAGTTTCGTCGTTTTCATATACATATTTACGCTTATGCCACGTCCATCAGAACAAATTTCAGCGAAAAGGAGAAAAAGAAACAGAAGTGACAGCAGTTTTCGAATCGTCAGTGACAGTCCGATTAGCGCGGAATATTGTCGTTCGCACGAACTGTCACGAAATGATAGGAACTCGGCCCTGTCATCTCTGTGAATTCTGCGTGACTAATTAATTCTCTTTTCTTCGTTCTTTTCTTTCTCTTTTTTTACCTACGCATACACGAATACAATACAACGCGCGCATACTTAACGTCCCACATGGTTCAACATTGGCACTTCGAAAGTCATCCTTTTTTTATCCTTTCTTTTTTTCCTTTAAATGTTACTGCAAATAATTTTATCTTTATTTAGCGTCTCAGCATCTCGTTACAATTACATTATCGCTGTCTTTTCGTTTTATCGTCCGACATAGACGGTTTGTATATGCTTTGACAAAAATAACATATTCATTTATTAGTATTTTCCCGTCCGTTACACGCCGGGTAGTCATTGGGTTACGACAACAATGAAACGTTCAATTCAACAGTGTTTCACATTCGCCGTTACATCTTGAAAAGTTAATATCGGACAAGTTGTTATAATATTTTTATTTTTTTATTTTTTTTAGTTCTGATGCCTTATACTCGAAGTGACATACAAAATTTGCAGTTCACCCCATTGCTCATATAACCGATACATACGTCGCCATAAAAACACAATGCATCTCTACAAGAACATTATTCTGTGAACGTTGTTCTACAAAATGTTTACTTAAACAAAAAGAGAAATGCGAGAAAGGTCTGTTTCTTCCATTGTCGTCGAACCGATTAGTTAGGCAGTGTTTTTTATTTTTTACGCCCTTATTGCGTGAAACCTAGAAGACATGAACGCGAATACGTATCGGCTATTTCTCGGCCGGGGTTTTGATCAAATACCGAAAAGCACCAGATCTCAGAGCAGACGATTAAATGGATCCACAGTTATCCGCTGTGATCCAGCTATAATAATTTATAGTCACACCTAATTGCACAAAGGTACTTCTAGACGAACCTCCCTTTCTCTCCCTCTTTCTCTCTGGTAGTTGCTAGCAAAAATTATTACACAATATTTCAATTATCTACATTTATATAATATAGACAAGTGTATGTGTGTGTATGTGTATGTGTGAATGAGTGTATGTATTGGATACAGGCACGATATAATTAATTACAAATAAATGTATACGATCCAAAGTCCTTCTTATATCACAATAGTAATGGACGCGGCGTTTTATCTATGCGCGATCCGAGCTACGGATTTTGTTTTCACTCGTAAGAGCAGCTCATCGGACTTCATGTCCGCGGGCACCTTTTCTCGCGGAAAATGGGAGAGCAAAAAAGAATTGTATATAAGAGAATTCGAATGAAACAATATATAACTAATGTTCATTGGCTCAGCCAATATCGCAAATCAAAATCCTTCGATTAAAATCATTAAATCTTCACAAATATCACAACAAATTCTCGCACCTCCGCAACGATCTTTTTGCAAAGGCGGTCTTCTTCTTCTGCAGATTCTTCCGGGAGTGCCAACTTCGCTGTATCCGGAAGCGCTGACTGCGATCAATCTCGTACAAACGACGAGATCCAATCAAGGGGATTATCAATCGGTCTTATGACCATACAGGGAAGACCTAAGGCTAAGTCTCCTCCTTTGTTTTCGTTTCATTATTAGCCTTGGCGAGTTTAGCGAGAGTATCCTCCTTAACATTGGCTAAAACGGTCAGAGAATCTTTCACGGCATGATAAATAATATTCTTGATTTGAAGCTTATCCTCATGATTCGTATGGGTATCGGATAGTGCACGGAATTCCTGGGTCAGATGGAAGCAATGCGACACATTCTCCGGCGACACAAAGTCCTCGGCCACCTTTATACAATTTTGGAGATTACGGACCTGATGTGGCGCGCCAGCTGGAACAAATACTGCATCGCCTAGACATTGGACGATAGCGTACCTGCAATAAAATATTAAACATTATTTTAATAAAATTATTACAATCGATGTTTCTCTTGCAACAAATTCTTTGGAGAATTATTTAAAAGCACGTACTTCATACGTAAAAAATAACACTTACCCTTCAACACCATATTCTCGATACAATCGCTCCCGCAATGGCCCATCTAAATAACAACTTTGATCATGTATAGGATCGTGATGAGGTTCCAAACGAGCTCCGCGTTCTAAGGCAACGGCATTCAGAAGATCTCGAATTTTGTCTGCGTCACGCGCTGCGTAAATATGCCACAGAGCACCAGGCACATTCTCCTTCTCTTCGCGAGCACGTCGACGCGTCAGAATATCACAGCCTGCTTCGTCTATCGCTCTCAACGCCTCTGTCCTAGCTGTAAATGTTTCGATCATTAATTTTCAAAGACTCGATTATTACTTCGACAAGAATATTAACGACGTAGATGCTTGATTATGCGTAAAGATCAGATATGAATACGTACCTTTGAGACTTTCTTCGTCATTAACATCCTTTGGCATTCCTACGTATACCATAACGTTCACGGCGTCCGAGATATCAAGATGAAGATTAGTCGTGCCTTTGTTGGAATGAAGAGCAGAACCGTAAGCATTATACATCTTTGGACCCAGATCCGGTCTCACGAAGCAATTAGGTAGACGACTCGCCAAATTTAGCCTGCCATTTCTATGCGTGTACTCGGACAATGGAAGAACCTTCATCAGATCCGTGAATCTCGATGGTAATAATTCGGCGAAATCATCACCAGGTGGCCAATCCTTCAATTTCAATAGCATAGGATTTCCTCGCTCGTCCTTAAGCCGCTTAGAATAGTACTCAAATCCTTCCCAGAACTTGCGCATTGGTTGATTCGGCACTAGATTGCCGGTCATACAGTTAACGAGATCGTTCTTCTCATCTCCGAAATCGCGGGCGAATGAATCAGGATGCCAGAGCTTCATGTCCAACGCCTTGGCGACGTCCGACACAATTACCGGTTGTCCTCGCTTCCACTGATCCTGAAATATTCTGTAGTTGTTTGGATTATTCGGGTCGCTTAACCTCAGCAACTTGCCGTCGCAGAGCCAAGAGTGTGGCACGTCTGGATAAAGACTCCGACTCTCTGTACCCGTCATAATTCTGATTGGTAACGGCTCACGACCACGCTGTGTCCACTTGTAACGTCGTACGAAGTGTTTCAATTCCCGTGGCTTTTCATCATCGAGACCACTGTCCTTTTCCTTTTTCACACTGTGTTCGATCACACTGGATATTACTTCATCAAGTGTATCCATTTTCGACTTTTTGCCAGATTTGGCGACGTTATTCTGCGGGGTGTTATTCACACCACTCGAATTGTTCGTAGGTGAATTCGATCTGGATCCGCCGCTCCCGTTTGACTTGTGCGATGGCCTTATGAGCAATTCCCGCAATGTCGAGTAATTACCTTCGCGATCATCATCCGAGTCCGAGTCTGAGCCGCTATCGTTTTTGTCCTGATTCTGTAGTGCTACATCGGCCAACCAGTTCAGCGGTGAGTTTTTGTCCTCGCCGTTAGTTTTGCTCTCTGATGCACCGTTAGATTCATTTATCTTCTTCTCTTCTTTTATTTCCTGTTTCACATTTCCATTGAGAACGGGCACAGAATCACCTTTGATCAGATTTCGAAGGATCTCGTTTGGTTGTGTCGGAGTTACGAGGGAGCAAGCACAATGTTGCGGAATTCCCCATTCTGCACGACATTCGTGTAGACGTTGGCCCAGTCGCAGAAGACTGTCGCCGGCGATGATTTGCGTAAGCATGAGTCGTTCCGGTTCGTGCACTTGCCTATTCGTGCATAGAAGCCACGAAAAGTCGTCCCTGTCTTTTCCACTCTCGCCCCAGATTTTGACTGTTCCATTTTTACGTCCCTAAATATTAATACATTTCTATCAATAAATCTCCTTTAAAAGAGAAAGAAATTATAACTATTATATTAATGTCAGTATTAAAAAGCTCGATAAATTATTGTACAATATCATATGATATCAATTGAATTAATTGTCATCATATATTCCTGCCTTCATATATTTAAAATATATTTAAAAAAAAATATATATATATATATATTTCACGTAATTTACCTTATAACAATCAATGCACACGACAAAGCCACATTTGCCACAGGCCCAATGGACATTGAACAAGGTAGTCTCGCACACGTCGCACATTTCTCGAACACCCAGGATCACTCGTTTCCACGCTACTGTTCCGTCTACAACCCCCGAACTCGCTGTCAAAAGGTAATCATAATCGATGCGCAAAGCGTTAAAACATGCGAACAAAAGAAATTACGCAAACCACCATGCAGCCTGATTTGAAGTTATAGTTTTGCAAAATGGCATATTAAATTATTATATATAAAAAAAATCAATGTGAATGATGTAAAAAATCAGATGTACTGAAAATAATTTAATAATGATGATGAGATTAATTTTAATAAAAGTTATTACATGCTTTACATATTTGCTTTAATGATGTATTTTAATTATATGTATGATATGTATGAGTTGATTGATACAAAAATTGGGATCAGTTCTGAAAAATATTGTAAAAACAAAATGTTACCTTCAGCCATATGTTCTTGGAGGGCATTCTTCTCTTGATGTAAAAGATCACAGAATTGATCGCCAACTTGCCAAAGTAGCCGATGAGCCGTTTCTAAGTCTAGGTCCTCTCGATCTCCTTTGTCCTTCTCGTTCTTCTCGGATTTGTCATTCTTTCCTGTTGTCTTTTGGTTATCTCCTCCTGGTAACCATAATCGAAGATCATCCTGTAACATTGTAATGATAGTTCTCCTTTGAGAGCATGCATCTCGAATTAAAACTGCAATATCCGTATCACACTAACAACTAGCGATTAAGTTTCTTAAAAGAACTGCTAGCAAACATCTTTTCAATTAATCAAAAAATTCAAATATGAATGTAGATGCAATCACCAATCGATAATATGATACAGGCATAAGACTGACTATTCATCTTATTTTAATTCGTTTTATAGTAATTTAATTACAATGTGTAAGTGTTGACCATGTTGCTCTTCGTAATTTACCTCGGACGCGTCTTTATGTGGGTCACTGAATCCTGCTATGGCCAATTGTCCGTTTTTGGTATAACGCAGTCTGCGAAATGCGTAGAATCTGCAGAAGATATTCTGAGAGTTCTTGGAGCGCTGGTTTGGCGTCCATCGGCATTCACGGCACTTGGCCAATTTCGTAGCCACCTCGAAACAGGCGCCGTCCTGCAGCCAGCTTTCACCGGATTTTTTCAGTTGCGATATCGTCGGTTTACGAAAGGACTGTCCACCGCTTCCGCCAGGACCGTTGTTACCGCCGCTCGTACTGTCATCCCTGCGTTCCTTCTTCTGACGGGGTTGTTGGTCCTCGCCTCCCATGTCATTGTTTTTCGTACTCTTTGGTCTTCTACCACGTTTCCTAGGTTCCTTGTTGTTTCCTGCATATCAACAAATCATGCATCTCGCTTCGTTAGAAAGTCTGTTATCCTAATTGTTATGCACAATTTTATTATTAATCATTCAGTGTTAAAAAGCTCGTGGTAATATCATAATATTATCAATTATTTTATATTGTCATCATGTATATATAAAAATATAATGTATCCGAGTGTAATGATATAATCAGGGAACAGGGTAAGTGCGATCGAATTAATGAAATTTGAAAGAAAGTAAGTGAACTCGAAAAAAGCATCAAAGATCCAAATATTTCTAAAAAAAAAATCTTTTCTCGGCCAGAAATGAAATTCCATAAATTAAGTGCAAGCAATTCAATTTGCTTGTCAATTGACTCTCTTGATTCTCTCGAGTTCTCTAGAGACAGGAATAATTGTACGATCATGGAACACGGATCACTTACCCTGCAAGTGAATAGTTAGTTCACCTGACGGGAAGTCCATTTACAAGAAGCTACGTCAACTAACCGTTTCCCGAGGAATTGTTGGAATTGGCCGTGGTGTGTCGAACTCTCGATGCAGGCTGAATAGAGCTCAACTGTTCGCTAGTGTCGCTGGAGCCTGCTTCGCTCTCATTGCTGGACTCGCTGCCTGCACCGCCGCCTTGCTTGTCCTCTTTCCGCCTCCGCTGATCTTCCGCGGCCGTTTGTTGCCTCCGTGCGGCGCCCTTCTTTCGTTTTACCTACCACAGGGCATAGATTATTAAGTAGTCAGGAAGTTCATGCTCTTGCCGCATCTACTAGCCGAAGCTACTAAACTGGCCACACTACTGCTTCAGCGCTACCATTTGGCACATCAAGTTTAAAGATCTATGTAAACCTAAGCAAAAATTAAAATTACATCACGCATAATATCTAACCAGCTCTATATCACAAATATAATTGCATTCACACAACCTCTCACTTGTTATGAATCTATTTATTCATAGTTGCCTTCAATTTTATTCTTTAATGTTTATAAACTTTTAAATTAAATAACAAATAAAAGTGTAATTTTAAATCTTTTCATTTAAATTCTCCTTTTTCCGAGATAGAGCACTGTGAACAATGTTTCTTTTCAACGTGAGGAGTCTCTGCTTAGTTCAACACAATTATTCTTTTTGAAGCATAATTTAATAGTCTGTTAAAAAAATCACAAATCTACTGTAAATGCAAATGAGTTGATCGTGGAATCTCCGATAAAAACGAAATTACTGTGTCAGCGTCCCGATCACCTTGCGCGAATAGAGGTTAGGTCACGATCGCGGCAAAAATTCTCAGTAACGGCGATATTTACCCCTCTGCAATATTTGTTCATGACGTGTATTCTGTCACTCGCGATCGATGTGCAGACACTCGTTGCGAAAATTCTGCCTGATGATTGGTCAATCAATTGTTTATAGGCGTACGTGACAAAACACTTGTTACTCGCGCAACGTCCATTACCCGTGATCACCCATGATTCATACACGCCTTACGTAGGAAAATGGCGCTCTTTGCGCGGCATTTAAACTCACTTTACAGAGCAGATTCTACAATAGGGTCGTCCGACCAATCACAGCTCGAATGTGAAGAGAATAAGCGGTTGACTGGTCTATTTCTAACATGGCTTACGACCTTATTGTAGAATTGGTCTAATGGACAAAAGTCCGTTAAGAAAGGCAGAGATTCGTATTCTTTGTAACTCTAAACTAGTATTATATTTAAAATTATTCATATATTTGGTCAGTGAACTCGAGAATATACTAGAACGCTTACCACAACTAAAAACAGATGACTTGACAAAGAGTTTAATGCTCGTTTTTATAATAATTTAACTTTAATTTTGATTCAATTACTTAATCTTTTTTTAGTTCTAGGCATTGGAAAAAGATTATTTAATAAATTGAATCGAAATTAAATATAATCTTATAAATACAAAAAATATTGTTCTAGAAAATATTGCTAAAAAAAATAATTATGTAATTTACTTTTAAATAACCTTATATAATAAGCAAATTTGTTTTAATTTAATTATCTTAAATCTTAATTAAAAAATTAAACTTACTAGGATTTTTTCGAAATATTTTTTGAATAAATTTAATTGTTGTAATGAATTTATACAAATGTGTATGCGGATTTATAAATTTTTCAAAACAAGTATTTAAATTAAAACAAGTAATTATTATTAGTATGTATTTTTTGTGCATACATTGTAAAAGGGAATTGTATTCTTCTTTCGTTTCTTTAAAAAACTATATTAATACTTTTTAAACTTCCACAGATACTTTCTAGAAGCTATGAGTTTCGCAAGTTATCTCCATGATATCCATTCTTAGAACGCCAACTGCAACGTTCACGAAACGTTAGCGTTCTAAGAATGCATATATAGATGCGAAGATAATCCGCGAGACGTACGTTTTCGATGATTCGAAACTCATGTTATGAATTCGATTATTACACACTACATTGAATCAACTCATATTAAAAAGCTTTATTTAAATATTTAAATGTATTTTAATTGTAATGTAATTTATATATAATATAATCAACTTTGACAATATTCTGTCAAATAGCAACAAAATCGTTATTAAGTAATTAATTGTTTAAAATTTAAAATATTTATATACCTTTACATTTAATTTTGTTAATTTCATGCATCTCTCTCTCTTTCATTTTAACTTATCGAGCAAAATTATCCTCTCTTCCCATGTTATAAGCGTTCTAGTTTCATAATTCTATAATTCCGTTTGGAAACAAAAGTTTCTTTAAAAATTAAGTGGTTTTTGCCTTAGGAAAGGCAATACAGAAAAGTAGAAAAATGTAATTAAAATCTTCGAGATGTAGGAATAAAAAACTCGATATATATAATACACGATTTTTGACGAACACAATTCGGCGGGCACTAACAAAAATTCTGAACGGCACAAAACTCGGACCGAAACCGATATCCTTCCATCTCGACCGATCTCTCAAGACTGATTTGGCAAAGGCAAGAAAGCTCTAGTCCAGGCAGCAACAAAAAACAGGTCAGTTTCGATTTTGAAATACCCTAGTTTTGTTCTTTTTGTCTGCATAGGTCATCGGTTCTCTTTTTCTTTTCAATGTGAAAAGAAAAAGAGAAAAAAAAATATAGTCGGAAGCATTCCAACTGTCTTTTCTGAGGCGGCCTACAATGGAATTCGCTTTCATGCCTTGGTCCAGGGATTGCCAGGTTAATGAAATATCAACCCCTCGCCAATCGTAACGAATTGACAAAAAAAAAAGGAAGTTCACCAATTTATTCACTACTAGTAGTAAAAATCTACAGTGCACGTAACGTATACTATAGATTTTCAATACTGGTCGTAAATACAAAAGAGGGAACATTAATGACATTACAAATTTTTGCGACCAATTTTCGGACAATCTAAAAATTGTTGATGCCTATTAAAATTTTGAGCTCCTCCAAATTTTGTGTCTTACTTTGGAGCATATCTTTTCAGTCATTTTCTTTTCTTCATAAACATCCACGCACGTATATAGTGCAAGAAATTTAGCTAAAAGTACAGAATTCCTATTTTTGAAAAGAAATATATACGAAATTCTAGAAAAATATTATATAATGTATACTATAGTATAGCATAGTATTTTCCTAGACTTCCGTTTCTTTTCAAGAATAGAGATCTAGGACTACTGTTTCGTCAGAAATAAAAGCGTACGATTAAATATTATATACAATTCAAAAGATATACAAAATAGAATATACAATTTTAAAGAATGATTATTCAGCGTTTCAATTTTTTAAATTAAATTTATTAATTAACATATAATCTAATAGAAAGATACACTATAATATAATCTTTAATATTATTTATTAA